TAAAATAGGATAATGCCACTTTTTCATCTCACATGAGTCCTGTGCAGAGAAATGAATTAAAGTCTGCGTAGCACGTGGACACTAGTGTGATGAGTAAGATAAAAAGAGCAAAAGGAAATTAAATAGCCCTGTCTTCAGAAGATAATTTGAACTGAGACTGAACAGTGGTATACCTGCTTTATTAATTGAGCTCTGAAACTTAGAAAGTAAATAAAATAAAATAGAGTACGATCACTTTAACTAGAGATTTTATCACACTGCACAGAAGGGGGGAATTAAGGTTAAAGGGGGGAATCTAAGGTTACACAGCCAGCCTTAATATTAATGTTACCTAACTTTGAGCACGTGACCTAGCATCCCTAATAATATTATTTTAACATAATTTTTAATGTGTAATTATTTATAAAGCTCCAGACTGTAGGTGTGCATGATGCTTTTTAGGCATATAAAATTGTCTGATCCCTGCCCCTAGGAGCTTACGTGATGACACCACACAAGGGATGGGAAAGGAGGGGGTATGGGAGGACAGAGTTGCAACACTGTGAGATCATGAGATGTACTTACTGCTACATAAGCAACATTTCAGCTTCTCTGTGGTTTTCTTGTTACTCATTTAACACTATATATTAAAATTTGGTGAACAGATACATAACACAAAGAAATCAACCGTAAGGAAGGATATGAAGAAAGAGAACTATGCAGTACAGTGTTCAGAGTCAGCAGTTAATATTAAAACATTCACAGCCAAATGTTCCATGTAGTCAATTATTTATATGGGGTTAGGCCTTGGCACCTCCAGCTGAGGTCTGGATTCTGCTCCACCAAGCACTGTACAAATATATCATGAGATATGATAGCTGCGTTACGGTTTTTACCGTAAAAAACTGTCAGTGGCTGATGGGGATATCAGAGGCAGAGAGACAAAGATGGTTTAACAGGCTAGAGGCAAACCCAAGGGTAGAACTAGAGTGTTTTGACATTTGATTTGATATTCTACACACCAATTAATATGTGTCTTTGGATTAAGATTGCCTGAACAAGAATCCCAAAACAAAACAAAGCAAAACAGAACAAAATAAAAGACTGCACTTGCAAGTAGCTCCCACGTGCTGGAAAACAAAACCATGGAAGAAAGACTCCAGCTTGGAAACCCTGGAATCCAGGGACCTTCTTCCGTTTCTGTGCTCTGGGAACTGAACGAGATTTGAGCTCTGCTGTGGTTGTCATTTCTGTGTGTGCAGAGCCCGTGGTACGTGCCATTTCTGCCTCGGCCATACTATTATGCTGCTACGTGCAGATAAACATATTGCACCCTTAAATGCCCACAACTTTCCTTGACTTCAGCAGCAGATCCTGCTGGGATATTCTAATGCTATCAGGCATTTCGGCTATGCAGAGATCATCCAGTAAACAATTCCAGAAACTCTAAGAAAAATGAATTTTAAAATAAACATACAATTAACCAAAGTAAGCAACATGGCAAAATACTCTTGACTTCTCGGAGCACAGGCTAAGCCTCTGGACGAAACCTAGGTAAGAACTGCGGACTTGATTCCGCTCTTCACTGCAGTTCTTCATTGTGCATGTGCAAAACACCACTTGGACTTTATTTCTTCACACTCCAAATATAACTTGCTTTCACTTTAAGGGTACTTTTCACAGCTCACAGAGCACAGAATGATTTTAATATACAACATTATAAATTCTTAGGAATTAGTTATTTCACTGGGTGAAAAGCCCAAGTTTTAGTCAGCTTTACAATTTGAAATGACAAGCTAAATATTTCCATCATTCTTATTAATAATTTTTTCCCAAAGCCTTAGTCAAATGAGTCACTAAATAAAATTTCTGGCTTCAGTGGAGCTCAGACTCAAGGAAGACTCCGATTTAGTGCTGCTAACCACTGCTGCTTTACAGTAGCAACACGGAATTTCTTTGTTTCTTCCTTTTAGAATTGAGTTAGGTCTTGGTACACAAACATTTTCCTTTAAGTTTTGTAGCTTATGAAACTTACTTCAAACTCTGTATAGCTTGGTATCAATTATTCATACAAACTCCACTTTCACTTGTCTGGGAATTTAGGAAGCTGGTTTGGTCCTGAAAGTAGTCCATCCATCACAAGAACTACAATCTCAGAGCTCCCAACAGGTTTTGTTATGGCAGCTGCTCTGACAGTGGAAGCTGAAACTGCTGTTCTCCAAATTTGGCTGTATTCAAAATTGTAGTCACAACTGATTTACAACCCACTAAAACAAGAATTTCATACAAATAGATTTTAAAAAACTCCTTATTTTTTTCCTTCCCTCTGCACTTAGGAAGTGGCTTTTGAAAACTTAGCAAGTTGACCTCAAAAGGATTTAGATGAGCACAATTTTCAAAGCTGGTTTGTTTACAAACATAGGTTAGGAGTGGAATTGGATTTACCTTCAAATATTACTGGCACATTCGGAGCATAAAAGTTTAAAAAGGTATTATTACTATCAGCATCGCTGCTGTGGCAATCTAAGTGGTTGCTGCCAGAAGATTAAAATAAATCACAAACGCTAAGTTTCTGCTATACCCTAAAGTCGATCTGAAGCAATTTTGCTGTCCCAGAGCCTGAAAAATAAATAGAATTTATGGAAAAATAACCGCACTCCCCAAATAACAATAACTGTCTCCTATTTCAGACTAACCCACTCTTTTTAAATTATAGGCATATTATATAAATACAGAATATTTAGCATGATGAAATCACAGAAAAGATTAGGTTGGAAGCCTAGCCCAACCTCCTGCTCCAAGCAGGGCTAGTTTCAAAGCCAGACCAGGCTGCCCAAGGCTTTGCATGGCTGAGTTCTGAGAACCTCCAGGCATGGAGATTCCTCAACCTCTCTGGGCCACCTCTTCTGCTGCTTAACCACCACCATTTTGAGGAATTTCCTCCTTATATTCAATGTTCATTTCCTTTACAGCAGGTGGTGATGGTTGCCTTTTGTCCTTTCACCGTGTATCCCCAAGAAGCCTCATAGTCCTCCTTTTTTTTTGGAAAGACCGCAATCAGGTCCTCTACCCTCAGGCTTTTGCAAGGTGAACAACCCAGTTGCTTCCTCTCCCCCTCACACCTCGTGTGCTCCAGCCCTCTCCGTGGCTCTCCTCAGGACTCTCTCCAGTTTGCCAATCCCTCTCTCAAATCGGGGGCCCACGACTGGACACGGTCCTACAGCACTGGCCTCACAGCGGCTGTGCAGGGGGAATAATCACCCCCCTGAGTGCGATGGGCAGTACACCTCCTCCTTCCAGCTTCCACTCCTTTGGCTCAACAAGACCCCTGAGCAGCAGTCCTGCCGGCCACCTTATGAAATGTCCCATTGTCTCTTCTTTTTTTTTCCAACTATTAAAAATTTTGTGTGTTTGTGCGACAAAGGTAAATCTCAATGCAATGTACAGAATATATATCTTTGGCTGAAGTGAAAGATAGAGAGAATACTGACTTCCAAGAGGGAGTGTGTCACTTAATGACCTGTGGTGAATCTTTTACTTGACTAAAAAAAACCCCCAAAAAAGTCCGAAATAGTTTTCGCTGATTAGGATTGTTCTTACAGGGCTTTGCTTTGATGTCTTTGCTCAATATTATGGTAACTTCTTTCCCCCTGCTCAATGTGCATGTGTGTTTTCGTAACCAGTTTAGATCCTGCAGTGTGAGGAAAGTTGGGATTGCTTAGTTAACTTACAAGGCCCAAGCTAAGTCTACTGAAATTAATGGGTTGCTTTTTTGGATCAGATCTGGAATGTTAACTGCAGTTACTCTACTAGCCTATCTAATCATCCAAATAGAGACTGCATCAGGAGCTAAGAAACTGTAGAAGGACAAATAATGACAAAAATGTATTGTTGAGCAAGTATCTAAGTGAGGCTTGATCTCGTCTCCGTTGATGTTGATAGATACAGAAAAGCCCTGAGATCATTCTAATAGGTTAAATACTGACTTTGGCCTAATTTATCCCTAATTTATCGCCCACTGCATGATCCAAGATGAAGTTTTCCCTCAGAAATGTGTGGAAGGAAATAACTAGGTCATGATACATGCTCTTATGAAGGGGCTACAGATTAGCAGCTGAATGGAGAGAGACCAGAAAGCACAGACTTTGTGTCAACTGAGAATTCAGAGGAATTTCTGGCCTCTGTCCCATGACTCTGCAGCATCACACAGAGCGGATCCCTGTCAGTATTACCAGGCCACCCTCCTTGCTGGAGGCACAGCTTCCTATTTGGCCAGTTTATATTTGCAAAGTCCTATAAATTTTGGGTTCCCTTTGCAGCCCTGCCACCAACTATGTGAGTTTTGGCAAACAAACAGTGTCAGAGTCACTTGTGTTTGAAGGCAGTTTCTAGGTAAATTCCAGGTTCTCGTATTTTCTTGCAAAAACTGCAGGGAAATGTTTGTTTATGCAAAAAAAAAAAAAAAAAAAGAAAAAAAAAAAAGGAAATGTGCTGAAAAAAAGCCCCAAAGTATAACACCAATGAAGGTTAGCATTGGGTGAACATATATATGCATGCACACATCCACAAACCAATCCTCAAATTTCACTGAATACAATCCTTTCCCACCTGGCTTTCAGTGGCTTGGATTTTTCCATTTTATGAATTTTCCATTTTATGACCATTTTTCTAGATCAATATATAGTAACATTTTAAGCACTTCATATGCTATCAGAACTACAAAATGAACCAAACTATAACAAAATTATTTCAGACTTCTTGGAGAAATCAACTCTGGAGGGCAGAGGTCTTTTGCAAGAAATGTAACTACAAGTTCAAACAGAAAAGTGACCTTTGCCTGTTGCTACAAGTATGTCACTGGAGGGAATTTGGCAGTAAGGTTTTCACTGGGAGGAGTCACTTGGCATTGGTACTGGTTTATGAAAGAGCAGAAGAAAGTAGAAGTTGGTTTTCTCAAATGATTCCCTACAAGGGGAACATGCAAGATATTTTCCAAGAGCTGGCTGCAAATAAATTTTTACCTCTGTGGAGCACTGTCAGATCCCACACTATTGCAGCAGGCGTTCTTTACAGGGCACATCTCCGTGCCACACATGGCATCTGCCTCAGCTGAGTCCATGCAGCCATTGACCAGCTTGATGTCTCTCAACTTCATACTGTCATTTTGTGAATCCAAAGATACAATGTCAGATGGGGAGCTTACAACACCTGAGTCTTCCGTGGTGTCCTCAGATGCAAAACAGCTGCTTTCTGATGCTGTCTCTTCCACTTCTGATAGCTCCAGAACCATGTCATCCACTACATAAACATTATCATGTGCAGGCAGCAGGCTCTCTAAATGAAATATAGCAAGGAAAGTTAGCTGAAAGTCAGTAGCACATAAATCAAACACAGAGAGATATTCCTTTGTAATTGGGGAAAAACACATGAAATAATACATTAAAAATAGTAGGATGGAGCTCAGTATTTGTATATAGGATAAAGATGATTTGAAAAGTGACAAAAATTTTATCCTTCTTTTCTTTTAGAAAGGTGGTTTGCTACGTCTGTTCTGTGGAGTTTGGGTTTTATAACTTTCAGAGCAAATCGGTTTCCTTATTTCTTTGAAGAAACAACAGTTTCTTGGGGAATTAGACTAAAGTTTAAATGTTGTGGTGTACGAAATCACTCCTGTTATTGCTTCTGACAACATAATCTCATTATTCCTCTTCCATGCTGCCAAACAGATCATGACATTTCCAGTAAGAAGTCTATATGCAGGTAAAAATGGGCAGCATTTCCCAGTCAGGACACTGAATTGGTAAACTAGATCTACTGCTGGCCCACTGGGTGTCACTTTATTTTACCACCCTTCAACTTCCTATGTGTTAAGTAGAACAACAATCGTCTCCTTCTCAAAGCACAAAAAAAATCTACTAGTAAGTGTACAGAAAAGTAGACACTACTATGCTTAAAGCAGAACCTTTTCCAACATTTAGTCATTTATAAAGGAGATCAAGGGATATGCCCTTTGCATGTTTAACTCTACTAAAAGTTACAAATTTTGAGAGAAGATTAGATACAGTACGATTTTTCATACTCTGTTTTAGATTGGCTCCTATGAGCTACTTGAGTTTTCATTTGTTTTGTATTTGTGTGGGTTTTTTTGTGAAAAATACAATTTTGTTATTTTCCTTAAGAAATGTACAACTCTAGACTCCATCCTGCAATTATGCCGTTAAAGGGGAACTCCCAACAAGGTCAATAATTTCAATGACTGAAATTATTGAGTGACTAAAGACAGAATCAAGCCCAAACACACTTCTTTTGATCAAAAGGAATCAATAAAGACTAATCTAAATGTTTAATTTGGAATTATAAGTGTGCTCCATTCTCTTCTTCAACCTCAGTAAGCAAAAGGAAGATTAAACAACAGTTTATGGTTTGATCCTGCAGACACTTGTGGTGGATGTTAATTATATGAGAAGTCTCAGGTCTACAAGCGTGACTAAGATTAAACATACACTTCACTGTTTTTTAGGGTGAGAATCTACAACTTTTTGAAGCATACATGAAGCTACAACTCAATAAAAATGATCAATGGAGAGAAATATTTCTGTATTATGTTGTATACACAAAAGTACTTTCTTTAAGTCAGAGAACTGAAAACAACTTTGTCAAAAAATGTCATAGAAATAATTTTGTAAGGGTGTAGCTTAGCAATGAAGCTTTGAGTAAAACTAAAATAAAAATCAAACCAACATTCTCCTTGACTGAGGTTACAAGACACCATTAAGTACTGAAATTGATTTCTGACAGCAGAAGCAATAAAATTCAGAGGGCTACAAATCATGATTAAAGTTGTAAGTGCTGTCAAGCATCGACATTAATGATGGAAGATGATCCAAAGACTCTATTGTGACTTTGGAAGTAATGTTACTTGATTTCTTTGACCTTATTTTCTATAACATTAACTCTAGGTTCGAGATTTAATCCAAGAGATCGTTCCATCTAAAAATGGCAATTACAGGAACTAAGTATGTGTCACTGAATGGATTAGAGTATGCTCATGACAGAACTACAGCTAGGGAAACACCAACATCAAGGAGAAATATGAATAATTTGACATTAAATACCAAGTAATAAAACCCCACAAAAATAGGCAGCAAATGAACAGGTGAGAGTCTATGGCCTTCTTGGCTTTCAAAGAAACAAACCCTCCAGTAACAGCCCGCTACCAAAGCATTAGTAAAAGCTACAATATGTTAAAAGCAGAACAAAGTAGGATAGCAAAGAAAGCAATTTAAAGAGTGGAAGTTGAAGAGTGGCAGCACACGGGAAGATTCTGAAGCAATGCACAATGCAGTATACCTTGATGCAAAGAGACCTCTATATAACACAGGCCACATCTGCTGTCACCAGGATGTCATAAATGACCTCCACCCTATAGCTGGCTCAGCAATTTATAACAAAGTACCTACTGCCAGCTCCTGACAGGAGGATGGTAGGCTTTTCCTCCCTAGCTGTCTCTCTCATTTCCTCATCCTCTTCTTGCCTGCCTGCAACTATTTCCTGCAACTTTCTGCTCAGAGATTTAGATCCTTTCGGTCACACAGCCCTACTTGTCTACTGTAGTAACAACACTCAAGTCTCTCCTTGATGTGATTCAGCAAGCTGCTCTACGGCAGGATCTCCATCCCCCAGCCCATTCTTTCCACATATTGACAAAACAAAACCCAATTCTCTTATTATCAGGGTCCACGTGCAAATCGATCCCTATCTGTTACGTCTGGATCTTGGCAGCTGAATCATCCAGCCCACTGTAAGAACCTCGTCATTCAACAGCAGAACTACAGAAAGGCATCTTTCTATTCAGCGATTAAATTCCCTGTGCTCAAGCAAAACCAAAACGTCCCCCTCTCTTCAACCCTACCAGTTTGTGAAAGCGCTTCCCTAATCTTTTAGCTGCACCAAGATGACCCATTTTTTTTAAAGCAGTTAACACATGGCACTGAACAGAGTTGCTGGCTGAGGCAAACTGTTTTGATTGCCACTACTACTCATCTGAACAAGAAAGCACACACATAAAACACTACTGCTATGTTTCTGTGTCATGTTAACAACCTTGTTTCAGCTAAGAGTGACACTAAAACACCCCTGTTTTAAAGTTGAGCCATCCTTGGATGAATTAAGTAAGAATCTATTCTTCCTTCTACACGCTTGATTAAGTCTCCACTGGTGCAAGCTGAAGATGGATGGGCATTACTGGGTAATGATACATGACATTAGAAAAGCTTACCTCAACTGACTAGTCTTGACTCCAGGAGTCAGAAAATAATACCTTTTCAAACTTTCTAATTCTACACAAAGAACTGGGTAATGCACAGTAGTAGATGTGATCCTGCCTTGTGATTTTTCCTTATCTTACCTCAGAGGGAATGCCCATGCAGAAAACCACCACACACTAAGCACAGCTACTGAAGTTATTTGTTGGTCGAATAAAGAAAAATCTGAACGTTTGTTTCTCTCTTCTCTGTCATGACGCTAAGAAGATTTCAATATGGGCTCTGACATTCAAGACCTCATGTAGACACATCCAGGTTAAGCCAGAACATTCAGCAACTACTTCAGGATGATCAGAGGGCTGGAGCACCTCTCCTATGAAGACAGGCTGAGAGAGTTGGGTTGTTCAGCCTGGAGAAGAGAAGGCTCCAGGGAGACCTTCCAGCAGCCTTACAGTACCTGAAGGGGGCCTGCAAGAAATCC